CAATTAATCTTGAAGGGAAATTAAATTGGTCACTGGACTGCAAGAATTCAGTAATAGTTTTGTGCTTTGCTGAGCTGCTCTGGRGCATAGAGCGTGATCTGTAATGTATCTGAATACAAGCTCAGGTATCAACAAAGACAAACAAGGTTGTCTGTTATTCCAGGTTGCCTACCAGATTTTTAATTGGAAGACATTCCAAATGAGCTACCCTAGATTACTATTGCCATTCTTATTTTGCATTAATGTAAAGTATGACTGTACAAAGTAAAAAACACATTTAAAAATTGATCTATTTCCTGGAAAATCTCTTTTTCATATCACWGCTGTTTTGCTCTAAAAATACCTTCAAATTATTAAGTAATCAAAAAGTCGACAGTGTCTGATCCTTCTCTTTTCATCAATAATTAAGAGCCTGGCTCTCAATTTCACACTGCATGCTCAAAYTGTTTGAATCCTTTTGTGAAACACCTTTACAGAATTTAGAGTATAAACCAACTATAATTATCCTTTAAAAAAAGAAAAAAGTGAATKTAAGAAGTAAGAATGATCTTCTAATTTAGCAAAGCCTGAGTTTTAAGGCAAAGAATCACATTTGAGCTCCACATGACTGCTAAATGTGCCAAACTGAAGATGCCAGAGAAATCTAATTCACAYTGCAAACTAGCAGTAGTACACAGTCATTATGCCAGTTCAATTGGAGGCATTTAAAGGGAAGATAAAACAGAGAGTGGGATGGGATATGAAGATCGTTTTAACAGTGTGACAGAAGAGTATGAGCCTGCATTTTCCTATACTATGGGAAATGCACCTTTTCTTTCAAACACGGTAAACAGAAGCTGCAGCAGTTTACCTTATGTTCCCTACCCATCTTTGCAAAAAGCTGAGGCCTGATGTTCTGACTTTGTCCCTGGTGAAACTGCAGCTCCAGAAACGGCAGTGTCACACCGGGGATCTGCTGCGAAGGTCTCAGAAAGGYTGCTGAGATTGACCACTTTGAACTCTGTCACACAGCAGCACCACAGCTCTGCAAAYAGAATCATCTGCTGTACTGGCCAAGGGACCTGGTGAGGAGAAAAAGCACCTTTGGAAGGTCAAAGACTTTTGGATAGCGTGTGCTAACCCAGTCTGCTCTTCACAGACTTTTGCTGGGTGAAATGCCTCATGGAACATAGACCCTTCCTGCTTTTAAAACCTTTGTGGAGCTACAGAATAGGAATAGCAATAAAGACACAAAATAAGTCAAAGGTTTGTTAGTCTTTATACAAACATCTGCCTTTTCCAGAAGGGTTTTGGCTAGTATAATAGCCACTGGAAATTGTACTTACAGATCTAAAAAAATTAATAATTAAGAAAAAAAAAAATCTGATTTCCCTGGCGGTTCATGATAGTTTTAAGCTTCACTTCTCACTCTGGCAGTTCCCACCTAGGCCATCAATCACTTATTATGACAAGGATCTGCCAGCCCTCYCAGCAGACTGATGAGCAAAGAAAATGAAAAGGCAACAGAATTACAGAATTTACAAATAATAAATACACACACAGAGTGGGATATAAACATTCTGTGGATAATCTGTTTACTGTTTTGGGTTGCTCTCTAGACCTAGTAGATCACAGGTAAAACAAGCATTTTACTGSTGATGATACACAACTCTTGTATGAAGTGAACAGATTAAACTATTTATGTTCAACCKCTGAAAGCATTCCAGAAATTGATGTCAATGTCAGAAACCTTATTAGGTTTCAGAAGAGGTAGGAAAGCTTCAGCCTAATCACAAGATAGGAGGTCTTCAGGCTTTTGAGAATGACATCTGAAGGGCATTGAGATTGTTTTCTATAAAAGGAAAGGGCAGATTTCCAGTACATATATAATCACTGGTAGCATTTATGTTGTCATCCTCTCCAAAGCAATAACAAAGTGCACAAATGGTGGATGATTAGAGAGGTCAGTCAAGTGCCCCATTCAGCTGTAATTGTAGAGTTTTCAAAAATTCTTTTGACATCAGAAAATATCATATGTTTTTTTAACCCAGCTTTTTGCTATGATTAGTTAATTCATGCAGAATCAGTGAAGAAACAGAATGGCAAATTAAAAGCAGTAGAACAGGAATGTCATTTTTCAGTAGTGATAAGTAATCAGAAAAATCGGTTCACTTTAGAATTACTGCTACCTGCCAACATTTAACTCCACATGCACAGGACCTCAGCAAATTTTTGTTTAAAATACTACCACCTTGCAGGTCTGGAAAGTCTTTCGAAAGAACTGCTGCCCCATGTACACTTTTGCTAATGTTGCAATCAATATTCTCTCTTTTCTTGCTCTACCTAGAGCACTTCACAAGATTTTCCTATCTCACAAAGAAAATCTGCACACACTGTTTYACCTAATTAGCRTCAATTTTGAACTATCATGTCTCATAAAATCTGACAATCTTCCTACTAAGGAAATTATGCTTACTCGATAGTATTTGAAAAGAAGTTATGTTTTCCACTTCACCATTTTTGTTTCTGGGTCTTGAAAGAGAGGTTTTGAGTAATGAATGGATATACACTTTMCAATTTTGAAGTAAATTTTCATGAGAGAATAGCCACACAGGGAAAATAAAAATATAATCTGCCACAGAACAAATAGGAGTTCTCATTTTATTAATATTCTTCAAAACAGGGAATTATTCCAATTACTTACAGTTACTTAAAAGTGGAGTAATCCTTCAGCCCAAATGTGACTGAAGTTGTCAATCCAGGAACAAGGGAAACAAACTACATGGCATTGTCCATTGCACCAGGTGAAGGTCTACATTATTTATGCACTTTTTAGTTTCAGAAAAGTGGGAAACTGAAATAGAGGAAATACCTGGGAGGAGAGATGTGGAACYAGGGAAATGAAGAGACAGTCCAGTGCTGACTCACTAGTGTGGAAGAAAAAAAAAAAAGCAAGCATTCTAATGACCACAGCCTTAAATTTTATGTAACTTCCATAATTCCAGACCATGAGAGATGGAGCTGTTGGCAGGCTTAGATCTAATTTAGAATTTTAGAAAAATGTCACTGTAGTACAGTGCTGTTGACTCATCAGTTACACATTCAGATGTCTGTGTGAATGATTTGTCCTGTAAACTTTATTGCATAATAGAAAAAAAATGATGTTAAACACATGAGGTTGTACCTTTGACATGAAAGGGTGCTCTCAGTGCACCTGCATTTTAGCGTTGGGCTTTTGTCATTGATCAGGGAGAATGAGGTCGTTCAGCTGATCCCCAGACAAACATTTGTAGCATCTTAAATGTTGTGATGACACTTAATGTTTGCAGTCATTTCAGTTCTCCAGCTAATGGCTGCTTGCCTGTCATCAACAACCATTAGGATGGAGGCATAAGTGTTTTGGGACAGTTAATATTGCTGCCTAGGTTTTTATTTTATTTTAAGACACCTTTTTTTTCCAAGGGCTTTATTTTTCCATTCAGGGTTTCTACAGAAGCTCAGTATGGAAAAAGATTTTAAATGTTATTGTCTTGCCTACTGAAGGACTTGCAAAGAAAATTGTGAATACTTTCACTGTGCAGTGCATCATATCATGAGGCTGTTTGGGTTTTCTCATTTTTTGCAGTGTATGAGGTCAGGGGAAATGCCTCAAAAACAGCAGTGGAAGAAAGTGAACTGAAGATTATTGCTGTGACCACTGAAATCCATAGTCACACATCATCAGAGTCAGCAAGAATAAGCTTTATGAAATTATTCAGACCTCTCCAAAATCCTTTTATGTACAATTCTACATTTCAGTTGGTAAAAACATGAATTTCCCTTATATAATAATCATGMGACATTTTACATGTGTTATTCATCAAAAAGGAAAATTTAAAAGCCCACTGGGATAASCAGGTACAAAAAGCTGTGTCTGAGTTGTTCTTGGTTTGGCTGAAGTTCAAACCCAGTGTTTCGAAGTAGAAAGGTAAAATAGCTTTCAATATTTCAGCATTTTCTGTAAACACARCAGACTGTAGGTATGCTCAGAACAGCCAACGGGAGTGTTCTGCAGTGTGTAACTAAAAGAAGTTCTCTCAGAATCACATATGAGAAGATCCTGGTGATCTCATCCAATGGACATCATTAACAGGGAGCTCAGCAGATTCACCAGACCCTAATACCTATTCTAATTGCGTACAGCATTTGCTCCATGTGTCAACTGTTCTTTTCCCTGTTCACAAGAAAAAAAAAAAGAAGTGAGGAGGGCAARGGGTGGTTCTTGCAGGTTTCTCTAAGTCTTTGTTATTGCTCCTCCTTCATGCAAACAGTTCTGATAGTCTCTAAGTCCTCTTGATTCTGAAATATTATACAATCTCCTTTTCAAAATAAATGGAAAGGTGTAAAGCTTCCAGCAGTATTTAATTTTCCATGGGCAATCACTGGCTACAAAGGACATTTTTTCACATTTTTATGATTTATAATCTCTTCTAAGCCACTAGTGTAGTTTCAGTAGTAAATGGTCTTTGATTTAGCTCATGGTTATCAATGAAAAACGACCTGAAACACAGCAATGTTTCATGCATTGTTTATCAGCCATTTGCCCATGCCACAAAAACTGCAGGTGAAAGGAAAGATGAATTTAAATACATTATTTTTCATGCCTGTGCTTTCAAGCTGCTTGCCTTGTAGAAAAAGTAATTGTCCTAAAGCTGACAGCTATGGCTGACATTGTTAAATACAGAGTGACTTCARACATTTTCTTTCAGGTTTGCAGTGGATGTGACCTCACCAGGCAGTGATTATCAAGAAGCTGTTTCTKCAGATCCTTGCTTTTCACTGCATTTCTCTGCAGGTTCATGGGTCTGCTCTCATCACAAGCTACCCCAAAGTTGTCCACTCTGTGTTCTACACATCCTCAATCTACTGAAAATAGATACTGAAAATATCTACTGAAAATGGTAAATACCACTGAGGTGAATGCAAAACAAATCTGAATCCAAATATTACACCTTTTATTTTTGCAGCCGGACCCCGCGGGCAGAGACATCTCCATCCGACCCATCTTGGAGCACTGCGAAAACACCCACATGACCATTTGGCTTGGGATTGTCTACGCCTACAAAGGGCTGCTGATGGTAAGCATGGCTTCTGCACGGCACTGAATTCAAACTGCTATTCACTAATAGGCCTGAAGTGAATTGTAATTGCTTTCCTGATGGCTGATGGTGAGTTAAAACTGCCTTGAGTGCAMCTTTTATAATCAGGTCTGTTTTAAAGTTCATTAGATAATAATGTGTGGGTATGTGCATGCATAAAATAAACAAGACATTAATAGCACTTAAGAGGAATATTAGAGATATACTATAAACCAAGAAATTCAGCAAAAATATGTCTTCTATAAATGAGACAACTTTGTGAATAAAGAAGTCAAATCATCCAAATTCCTGTGGGTTCTCCAAAAAGGTAGAACTAGGTTGTTACAGATGTTTGCTTCTCAGTTGCAAATGTCCTTGAGGAATAGTCATGACAGTGCAAGATTAATTTGGGGGCTGAATCAAAATAACCCTTTTGTCACTTGGGCCCATCTTCATGAAAAGATTTAGTTACTAAAACAGACTCTAGGAACCCTGAAGCTTGATAGTTTAAAAGGAAAAAAAAAACAAAACCAAAAAGCAAACAAACTGAAAAGGTGCCTATTAGTGATTAAAATTTTCTGAGCCTGAAGGCTTTGAAAACATCTTTGATTTTGAGAGCACTGACCAGCAGAACACCTATCTCGAGTTGAGCCCATCTGGATCCTAAGCCTGATGGMCATTAGTCTACACTGCCTGAAGGGGTCAATCTGTTGTGAGCATTKGCACWGTGCTCGTTCCTCAGGACCCGGGARAGAYGGGGTCAGCTCCTTCCACTGCTTGGTGCCGCTGCCCAGAGCAGGCTGCTGGTGCCTGGAGCCCTCCTCCTCCCTCTCCCCTATGAATGACTGCTCTGATGAGTCCTGCTGCTTTCCAAGCTGCTTTTTTCAGGCTGAAAAGTCTTTAAATATCCAACATGAAGGGATGAGAAGTTTTGTTTCTTTGAATTCTAAACAGTTGCTTTGTGGTCAGTCTGCTCTGTTGGGGTAAGCCTTCAAGCAAGAGGGCTCTGGTATCAAGTGTCCCTGGTGAGAGCTCTGACTCTCGAGCTACGAGCCAAAAGGAAACCTTCTTGGCTTTACATTTCATGAAAAAAGGAAAAAAAAAAAAAGGCAACTTTAGGTATTGATGCCTGCTTTTCAGAGAATGTCCAAGGAGGCTGTAAAATCAAGAGCTAGGACCTACTTGCTCCCTCGACAGGGATCAGAAATTAGGAGAGATTCTGCATGTCTTACTGGTCAGTTCTGGGTGGGTCTGGATGCACATTAGCCTTGGCATGTCATCAATGGATGTGGGTCCTGAAGGGTGCCACAAACTCRGAGTCATTACATTGACCAGCACTGGGGCCACAGTAAGATTCAAACAAATGGAAGATGATTTTTTGGTTTTGAAATACATTCATCAATGTTTTCAGTTAAAATATTTTAAATATACATTCTAAGACARCTTTCTTTGAAGTTTCAAGTTTAGTTTAGTGTTAGTGGTTCAAGTGGTGCTAGTAGTCAAACTGCTTTGGTTCTCACTAGTCCTTTGCTCTAGGTTGTTTGTCAGCATGTATGTTGGACTATTTTCTACAAGGTATGTGACTCTCTTTAAGTCTGCAAGTGCCATTTGCAAACTTATTTTGCAAATGCCATTACATTATYAGACAATAATGTGTGCATATATGTGGATATGTGCATATGTAAAATTCCCAATTCCCTATTGAATCTCTTGGTTTGTGCTGTATCTATAATATTCAGCTTAAGTGCTCCTAATGTTTCATTTATTTTACGAATGCCATTACTCACTAATTTCAGACACAYAGAGTTTCATAACCACCAGTGAAATGCACACTTTTTATTACTCCAGTGCCCTCTTAACACACAAATCGCTACATATTAAAAAGGAAGATACTTATCTGAGTCATTTAAATAATTGCTATGATGAGTGAATGAGTGATATGAGGACAACAGGATTGATGCATTTTATCTCATCACCAAAGACATTTCTGTACACCATCCATACTTTGCCTTCAGAACAAAAAACAGAACCTCTCATGTCACTGTATCATTTTATAAACATTTATCTAATACAAAATTATGTGATTTGTAATAATAAAACACACCTCTAATTTAACACACTTTATACTAAAGACCTAATCTTGCTAATCACAGTACAATGCAGTATTTAAGGTGAAATGGCTTTACTCAAGCCAAAATTATTTACCATGACCTCTTGTCTCAAAATGGGAATAGAAACATTGGGTTAACCTAAAAAAAGTTCTTTTCTTTCTGATGTAAAAGCAATACTGTCCATTCTGATGTCTTAAATGTGCTGATGCAATGAGTAAATCGCTCAGGGTAGGGCAGAGCACAGAAGAGCAGGAAAGGGCAGGAAAGGGCAGGAAAGGCAAGGTATGGCAAAAAAAGGGAAGTGATTACTTGGCAGGACACACTGGTTCCCTTTACATTAAAGAAGGGAAACTCTAAAAGTCAGATTCACAATTTTTCAATTGCCTCTGAAGGGATCTGAGGAAATGCTTATTTTGCTGCATGAAGGCTTCTCAGTTACCAGATTCAGATTCCTTAKTACTGGTGACAGAGAATAACAGGAAAATGGCCATCCTAAATTTTGCCTTTTTCATTAAAGAATCTTCTTAATGACCAATGTATTAGTCTGCTCCAGTTCCTCCATAYGTGGGGGACTCAGTGTGTGTTTTCTCCCATTTCAAGTTCAGCTCTTAAGAGGCTGCAACAAGTTCAAGGTCTGTCTATATGTACATGTTAATCAACGCAGAATTACAGAATCAATTTTGCTGAAAAAGACTTCTGAGATCGAGTCCCACCTATGCCTGAACACCTCTAGGCTCTTCTTCAAGTCAACTACATCTTTGCATGTCAACTACTCAGTTGCAATATTTGGGTTTTTGATGAGGCGAACATGGTTGAAAAGCATCTTTATTTCATATATTCCAAAGGATGATAGAAAACACCATTTTAAACTTGCTGGTGGTGCATCTTTAATGAGGGCACTAACATTTTTCTGAGGGGTGTGAATTATTTGTTTCATCTCAGCCACAACAATACCAGACTGGACTCCTAGAATGCTTTGCTTGTTAATCACACACACATTTGTCTTGTCTACTGTTGGATTTCTCTCTTCCTTATAATGCTTTAAATTAACAGTAGACTCAAGATGTTTATATGTTGGAAGTTTCATTGTGTGCTTGACATGTTATTACAGGTACCAGCTATTCAGCTACTGAGAAAAAGGCTTTTGAGGCAAAAGTATATTTTGAGTTGACTGTTGCTATCTGTAACAAATCCTACTTTCCCCCTGTGTTAATTGAGGTGGTTTTAAGCCATAACTAATAATACTGACTTCTTCTCATACACCATTTTAAACATATCATCCTTAGCTAACCTTGTCAAGAATGAAAATATCAGTATTTCATGGCTGAGACAGGAAAAAAAAATAATGCATATGCATCATGGGATTTTATAAAGGTTGCTAGGAATAAGAAATTTATTTTCTTCTAATGATTCTTATTCCAAGATTCCATTATAGTTGATATACTGCGCAACCCTGTAGTTGATTTATGAAGCCAAAGAAAGTATTAATTCAGCTAAAATATATCCTTCAGATAATGCTCAATCATAACTTCAAGTCTGACTGAAAGAATCCTCTGCTTCCTCAGGCTCTCTAATTGCTAAGTTGAATTTGTCTTCTTCCAAATCTTGAACTGTGGTGGATCTTTTTTTATATGTTATCCCTCTTTCTCTAAAATGACTTGATGTCTTTATTTCTAGGCAAATTTCCCTGCATTTGGCCAAATTTCTGTGCTTTTCTAAAAATCCTTCTGTGAGTTGTCTACCATTCTTCACCTCTGCTTCCTCTGCATCATTTTCAGCCATGTCATTATAGTCTCCTCCAACTCAATGTACATATGTGGGACAGCATAAGTTGGATTTTTTTTAAAAAAACTATCCTTTTTTTTTCATAGCTTCTCATTACTAGCTATATGTTGAGATCTACCATGTAGATTTCAATCAGGTTAAATTCATTCTACTGATTTTATAGCATTTTGTATTTAAATAGTTATACTGTGCACTATTAAGACTAACACTACTGAGAAATCTGTTTGACCTGTAATTACCTTCATTCAGAATTGCAAACTCATTGAAAAAAAATAATAACATGTTGAATTATATTGCTATCCCTTTTTCTTTTTTTTTTTTTTTTTTTTTTTTTTTNCATGTGTCAGCCATTTCATTAATTTGCTTAGGATAGAAATTACGGTAATAGCTCTGTAATCACTGGGGCTGTTCCACTTTCTCATTTCCCATATGGCCTCTTTGTATCTTAAGTGGAGCTTTGCCAGAATTCCAATAAATATCAACAGTTAAGAAGAGCAGTCCAGACAACTTTTAATTCAGTTCTTAAAACTCTTGCACGTAAGTTACGGGGTCTCTGTGATTGCCACAACTCGTCTTGACAGAGTTTTCCAGAGCTTTTTCACTGTTGGAATAAGCTGCACTTCACTGTTTTGGCAAGATGTGAATGGGCTGTTCCATCCCCATGTAAATACAGGACAAATCCCCTTATTTAGCTTATCTTATCATGCATCACTGCTATTGAATTTGTCATCTTCCTAGGAATTAATCATAATTACGATTCAGTTTTCTCAACTTCCATTTTTATAAATCTTTATGAATTCTGTTAATGCTGCTTCATTTATGTTTAACTTACCTTCCCACTATCTCTATTTTAGATCTGTAATTCATAAGCATTATTATGACATTCCTCATTTTAAGTTTTGTTACATTYTGTCTAGTCTTTGGCCAATTTTATGCCTGTTTTACATTCCACAACACCCAAAACAATTTTTAAGGTAAGAAGAGCTTTTTKACACGTGTGAAACTAAGGACAGATCATTTACACCACACACCCAAGCATCTTTCAGTTGTTCTTTTTAAATATTCCTGCTGCTCCCCTTCTCCCTTCTCCAATGACTTCCTTTG